GGGATACTTTCCAACTCATTCTATGAGGTTAACATTGCCCTAATATCAAAACCAGATGAAGAAAAAAAAACCTCTTATAGAACAATATAATCTTATGAACACAGATACAAAAATCTTCAGCAAAACATTAGTAAATTGAATCCAACAATGTGTAAGATGAATTATACAGCACACCAAGTGAGATTTATTCCAGATAATGTAGAGCTGATTTCAATATTTGAAAATCAACTGATGTAATTCATCACATCAACAGGCTAATGAAGAAAAATCACATGGTCATACTAATAGATGCAGAAAAAGCATTTGACAAAATCCAACACCCATTCATGATTAAAAAAAAAAAAAGAAAACCTTTTGGCAAACTAGGAATACAGGGGGAAATTTCCTCAACTTGATAAAAAAGTATTTACAAAAAACATACAGCTAGCATCATACTTAGTGGTAAGAAACTAGAAGTTTTACACTCAGATCAGAAACAAGGTTAGAGTGTCCCCTGTCACTACTCCTTTTAAACATTACATTGGAAGTCCTAGATTATGCAATAAGACAAAAAAAAAAAAAAAGGAAATAAAAGGTTTATAGATTGGAAGGGAAGAAATAAAACTGTCTTTGTTTGCAAATGACACAATTGTTTACGCAGAAAATCTGAAAGGATTGACAACTCTTGGAACTATAAAGTGATTAAAAAGTCAGGTTGCAGAATACAAGGTTAATATACAAAAATCAGTTGCTTTCCTATCTACCAGCAATGATCAAGTGGAATTTGAAATTGGAAACAATACCATTTACATTAGCATCTCCCAAATGGCATACTTATTTAAAAATCTAGCAAAATATGTACGAGATCTATATAAGGAAAATGACAAAACTCCGATGAAAGAAAATTAAAAAGAACTAAGTAAGTGGAGAGATATTCCATGTTCACAGGTAGGAAGATTCAATATTGTCAGATGTCAGTTCTTCCCAACTTCATCCAAAGTTTCAAAGCAATCCCAATCAAAATCCCAGCAAGTTATTTTGTGGATATTGACAAACCGATTCTAAGGTTTATGGAGAGGCAAAAGAACCAGAATAGCCAAAGAGAAGAACAAATTCAGAGGACTGACACTACTGACTTCAAGACTTACTGTAAAGTTATTAGTAATCAAGAAAGTGTGATATTGGTAAAAGAATGAACAAACCAATGGAACAGAATAGACAGCCCAGAAACAGACCCACAAAAATATAGTTGATCTTTGAAAAAGGAGCAAAGGCAACACAAAAATTAGCTCAAAATACATCACAGACCTAAATGTTAAACACATAATATAAACCTCCTAGAAGATAAAAAAGCACAAAGTTTAAATGATCTTGAGTTTGGTGAGGACTTTTTAGATACAAATACCAAAAGCACAATCCACAGAAGAAACAATAATCTGGACTTGATTATAATTAAAAACTTTGGCTCTGCAAAAGGCATGGTCAAGAGAATAAGAATCACAAACATGGAGAAAATATTTACAAAAGACATATCTGATAAAAGACTATTAGCAAAAATATACAAAGAACTCCCCAAACTCAACAAAAAGAAAATGAATGGGGCACCTGGGTGGCTCAGTCAGTTAAGCATCTGCACTTGGCTCAGGTCATGACCTCAGAGTCCTGGGATTGAGCCCTGCATTGGGCTCCTTGCTCAACGGGCAGCCGGGGAGCCTCCTTCTCCTTCTCCCTCTGCCCCTCCCCCCCCACTCATGTTCTCTCTCTCTCAAATAAATAAATAAAATCTTTTAAATAAAGAAAATGAACAATCCAATCAAATAATGGGAAAAAGACCTGAGCAGACATCAAAGAAGATACACAAATGGTAAATAAGCATATGAAAAGATGCTCAACATCACAGGTCATTATGGAATTGCAAAGTAAAACAATGAGATACCACTACATATTAGAACGGTAAAAATCTGGAACATTGATAACACCGTATACTAGTGAGGATGTGGAGCAACAGCTTCCCTCATCATTGCTGGTGGGAATGCAGAATGCTACAGCCACTTGGGAAGACAGTTTTGCAGTTTCTTACAAAACTAAACATGCTGTTACCATATGATCCAGCAATTGTGCTTCTCACTATTTACTCAAATGAGCTGAAAATTTACGTCTACATAAAAATCGGCACACAATGCTTATAGCAGCTTTATTCATAATTGCCAAAATTTTGGCAGCAACCAAGATGTCCTTCAGTAGGTGAATTTATAAACTGGTACATCAGAAAATGTAATATTATTTAACACTAAAGAGAAAGGGGCAATCAAGAATGAGAAGACATGAAGGAAACTTAAATGTTTATTACTAAATGAAAGAAACCATCTGAAAAAGCTACCTAGTGTACGATTGCAACTATATGACATTCTGGAAAAGACAAAACTGTGCATACAGTAAAAAGATCAGTGGTTGCCAGGGATTAAAAGGGAAGGAGGAATGAGTAAGCAGAGCACAGAGTACTTTTTAGGGCAATGAAGAGTCATTCTATATATTACTATAATGGTGGATACATATCATTATACTTTTGTCAAAAGTATAAAAGAATGTACACCAAGAATGAATCCTAATGTAAACTATGGACTTTGAGTGATAATGATGTGTCAATGTACGTTCATTGTTTGTAACAAATATACCACTCTGGGACAGCATGTTGATATCGAGGGCGGAGGCTATGCATGGGCAGGGATGGGGCAGGGACAGGGGATACAGGGAAACTTTGTAGCTTCCATTCAATTTTGTTCTGAATTTAAAACTGCTCTAAAAACAAAGTCTTTTTTTTTTTAAAGAATATTCATATGAATATAAAATTTTTAAAATGTATTTGACAAAGCGGGTGTAGGCTTTGTGAATTAAGAATCCAAGATTCTAATATTACTTCTGCCAAAGGCTGCAACTTTGATCAAGCAACTGTATCTTTGGGCCTGAATGTTCTCTGGTCAGAAATGAGGAGACAAAACGAACTGATTCTAAGATTATTTTAGCTCTAACATTCTGCTCTGGGTCAGTGAAATTTAAGTGGTACATATTGACAGTGACCCAGTGGAGCATGAAGCAGAATTTTATCACCTTCAGAGGTGTGCCCCAACTTCTAAGCAAGTTAGTTATGATGTGGTATGTCAGTAACTGGTGTTCACAGGTAAATGTATAATGGATTAACTCCATATCAATGCCTTCAAAAAGTTGTAAGCAAACAGCCGTTAAAAACACTGATAAATGTAGCCAATAGGCTGTTATTTGGCAATTTTGTAAGCTTATTTTAAGAACTGAGCTTATCAAAATTGCCATTCCAGAAACCAGGGACAATTTGATTGTCCTGAAATCTCCTGAAGTAACAGGAGATTCTTAGGTGCTCTCATCGATGCAGAAAAGAGACATTACTAATGTGACTGGAAGAGTTCTATGAAATCCCAAACACCACGAAGATGATATATTTGATGAATATATGCATTGTTATTTAGAATAAAACCAAATTTCTCTGAATATAAAAGTAACTGATAATAAAAACACTCTAGGTTTTTCTCTAAAGAATTTCCAGGAATGTCTTATGAGAAAGCCCTATAATTAAACTACAGAGCCTGGATGCAGACCCCGAAAGCTGCTGTGAGAGCCCTGATTTAATTCTGACAGTGGAATCTCTTACCTGCTGTGGGACACAGAGGACGACCCTGCCTCCTCGGGCTGAGTCTGCTGCCCATCCACTCTCCTCTCAGCAGGTCCCCTCTCTAGTGGCTGCTGCATTCCAGCTTTTAGTTGGAGCATTTTTTCATGAAGAATCCTCTTCCTGCTTCCTTTAAAAGGAAAGATGGAAGAGAAATATGTCTGTGTCTCCAAAATGTCCAGGCTTCCTCCAAAGCTACCTAGAGGAATCAAAACAAAATCATGGTTTATAGAGTTGGATTACTAAATAGGATCCCATGGGAGTATAAAGGAAGGGGGGGAACCTACCAAGAGGTAAAGAATGAAACCTACAATGTGCCCCCTTGAAGAGCCACGAGGGCCGTGGTGACCCATTGGGTTGGAGGAAGGATACAGCAAGTAGGGGGAGATGGTATTATGAGGCAGAAGAGGAGGGTCTAGAGGTCTTTTAGGTTAAAACAAACAAACAAGTAAACAATGAAATAAACAAATGAGGGGCACCTGGGTGGCTCAGTCGGTTAAGTGTGCCTTCGGCTCAGATCATGTTCTCAGGGTCCTGGGATGGAGTCCCACATTAGGCTCTCCGCTCAGCGGGGAGTCTTCTTCTCCCTCTCACTCTCCCTCTGTGCTCCCCTCCCCCTCCCTCAAACAAATAAAATCTCAAAAAAAGAAATAAACAAATGAAGTCAAATGGGCTTTAAACTGCAGTAAGAGTATTTTTTTAAGATTTTATTTATTTATTCAGAGAGCATGCGTGCATGCGCGCAGACGCACATGAGTCAGGGGAGGGGCAGAGGGAGAGGGAGAAAGAGAATCTCAAGCAGGCTCCGTGCAGAGCACAGAGCCCAACATGGGCCTCAATCCCATGACCCTGAGGTCATGACCTGAGCCAAAATCGAGTCATCCACTTAACTGACTGAACCACTCAGATGCCCCAAGAGTTGAGTATTTTTATTCTTACAGTTCAGATGAAGTTTCCTGGGCGTGTTCCGTCAGAAATCAGAAAGCCTTTTTATCACCCACAGGTTTTGAGAGTCATGAAGGCAGAAACAAAGTTTGAGATACCAGAGCTCAAATCCGAAGTCATTGGGACATCAACAATAGTGCCATGGGAAGCAATCAGGGTTCCATGTCTCAAGTTGTAATCACAGAATTAGAATGTTGGTTGCTACAGAACCTGAGAAAGCTATGCCTTCTGAGGGCCTGCCATATGCAACACAAGGCTGCCTGTTTCTCCCTAAATCTCTATCAATGGAGACCCCCTCTCTTACCAGTCAGGTTTTTTTTAAAACTTTTATTTATTTATCTGAGAGAGAGAAAGAGAGCAACAGAGCAAGAGATGGAGCATGAGCAGGGGGAGAGGCAGAGGGTGAAGCAGGCTTCCCGCTGAGCAGGGATCCTGATTAATGGCTCAATCCCTGGACCCCGGGGTCATGACCTGAGCCGAAGGTAGATGCTTTAACCCTGAGCTACCCAGGCACCCCTCTTACCAGCCAGTTTTAATATCTGGGTACTCTTTTACTGATACTACCAATCAAAATTTTTAAAGTAATCTCTACACCCAATGTGGGGCTCAAACTCACCACCCCAAGATCAAGAGTCTCAATCTTGCTTTTGTACAGAAAAAATCAAAACAATATTTTCTCAACATCTTTATTTTCTTGAAGATAGTTGCAATAAAAACAATTCTTCTGGCTTTTCCTTCATCAATTTTTTTAAACCTCTAGTGATTCTATTTTTTTTTTTAGGGGAGGTGGGGCAGAGGGAGAGAGAGAATCTTAAGTAGGCTCCACACCCAGCACAAAGCCTGATGCAGGGCGCAATCTCACGACGCTGAAATCATGACCTGAGTCGAAATCAAGAGTTGCACACTTAACCGACTGAGCCACCCAGGCACCTCAAAGCCTCTAGTGATTCTTACTGTTCCTCTTTGGGAACTGTCCGGATTTTACCCCCTAGACCCTTTCAAGAGCATAGTGACCAAAAACTAGAGTATAATGACTAATAAATTTAGCATAATGATGTCTTGCTTTTTCACTCCATAGTAATTAATATATCTCAATGCAATGCTGAATTTCTTTCCCTTGCATTAGGAAAACTTGTAGGGGGTTCATTTAATAAGAAGTCATCTTAACCTTTCAAACTCTCTATTTCACCCAACTTGTAGATTATTGTTTTTGCAGTGCTTAAAAAAAAAAAAAATCTCAATCAACATTATATTCTGCTAATGTCTGTTTTGCATTTCATTCTGGCTCTACAAGTTACTTTCCACTTTGTCAAAGTCCTTAAAATGATTTATCTCTTTGAATATGGATACTCAATGTGGTGCTGATTTATAAATCTAACTGATTTATTTATTCTTTCACTCAGGTCTCAACAGTTACCTGGGCTGCCAAAAAGCCATTGAAAATGGCCTATGACAGAGTCCAGTAAAATCTAGATGATGGAATGGAGGGGATGGATGGCAAGTACAAGCAATAGTTTGGTCACAGCAGCTGAGACCGTGAAGAGAATCACAAACATAACACAAACACAACACAAACACAAACATTGCTTCCTACCTCTTGGGCCTCCATTTCACTGGTGTGTTGGTAAGTGTTTAACAACAAGTACTCTAGGGGATAAAACTCTGATTTGTAGCATTTGCCTATCTCTGTGGGGTAAATACTGTCACCATGGCCAATTTTAAGCTACCAATGAGACATTACTGAATATGTTGGGATATGATGTAGTATTTTTACTATATAAATATAAGTACCAGCTTATATCCATTAGGATGGTTCCTATTTAAAAAACCAAAATAACAAAATAACAAGTGTTGTCAAGGATGTGGAGAAATTGGAACACTTGTGCACTGTTGGGAATGTAAAATGGTGTGGCCCCTATGGAAAACTGTAGTAACAGTTCCTCAAAAAATTAAAAACAGAATTATCATACAATCCAGCAATTCTACTTTTGGGTATATACCCAAAAGAATTGAAAGGAGGGACTCAGAGATATTTGTACACCCATGTTCATGACAACATTATTTCCTGAAACTAACCAACTGTGGCATGTTTAACCACAATTAAAAAAAAATACAATACACATAAATAACCTCGAGAGCATAGATAATAGTAAAACGTAACATAATTAGGAAGTGATGTGTTTTGGGTATTTTTTATTTTGTTTTTGATATTTATTTATTTATTTTAAGATTTTATTTATTTATTTGAGAGAGAGAGAATGAGAGAGAGAGCACATGAGAGGGGGGAGGGTCA